CTAGTTTTCTGATGAAGGGTCTAGGCCCGAAACGTCAGCCTCTCTGCTCCTATGCTGCTGCTTGGCCTGCTGTGTTCATCCAGCCCTGCACCTTGTTGTCTCGGATTCTCCAGCATCTGCAGTTCCTACTATCTCTGGCTCAACTAAAGAGTTGTATCAGGATTTTGCTGTGCTTATTGAGAAATGGGAAAGGCAGACAATTTCTGAGGGCTAATTTTTCAGAAAATGAGATGGTTTGGTTTGAAGCCCCTATCCCCTGCTTCATTAGACAAAATAATACAAACAGACGAAAGTAGTGTAGACAATGATGCATAGCTATAAAACTCAATGCAAAAATGAGTATTTACAGTTTGTGCACTCCTGTCAGCTGTCCCTTGCTTCAAGTACAATGTCTACTCATGGTCATGAGTTTTTTTTTTATAAAACCTGAATCGTGGCCTTCTGAACCTTCCCTGTGCCTTGTCTTTCTCTCTCATATGCCACTCTACCCACTCGGACATTGTGACTCAGTGTGATGCAGCTGGATGGGCATGTTGTCGCTCAGACTGGCAGATCCCCCCTCCCCCACGCATTAAGGTCAATATTGCTTGCTTCAACAAAAGATTCCTGTGTCTTTGTAGCGTTTTCTTTGTCCTTCCTTGTCCCTGAAACACTGGCCATTTAAAAACTGAGAAAACTGAACAGATTGTGTCACACGTGCAAAACAATATTTAAAAAGCCAGGCATTTAATTGTAGAGCCCCTTGAATCAGATGCTGAATATGTTTAATTTTCTGCAGATATTTACAAGCTACAATTACTTAAATTTAAGTGTTGGAATAGCAGTCTTAAAGTGACAACACCTGTAAACCAAACATGTTAGAGCATCAGTGAGCAAATCTACGGGTGGTGTATTCATTATTGTAAAACATGCATAATTTCTTGTAAGCAATTTATTTTCTTCAGGACTGAGTGGAAGATTTTTCTAATCACCATTCTCTTACTTTCCCTTCCCCTCATCCAGAAGAAACCAGCTTTTTTGGAAGAGTCAGAAAGATTTTTGGTGGAAGCTCTGGCTAGTTATATAATTTGAATCCTTCCTGATCAAGCCACCTTCAACTGCAGCAAAGAACATTTCGAAGTTTACTTGATTGTAATGATACGGAATTGTCATAACATGGCACTATAATAACATGGGATTGTAATGATGTGAATTTCTCTACAGTGACTAATAAAACAAAACTCAAAAAAGCATCTTTGCAGTGACTTTAATTGCTGTGACCAGCACCTCATTCAAGTGTGAAGAATGAGCAGTCATTGACAAGCCATTGCACACAGCTTCCTAAATTCAGGGATTAGAATCACGAACTGGTCCTCACCCACAGCCTCGTCTCTCCCTGGTCACCTTCTCACCTGTCCTTACTGTTTCCTAGGGGATCTTTTACTAAGATCATTTATTAAACTTACCTTATCACACATCGCAAGATTCTAGTAGCCTGAACCTTGGCTGAATCCACAATGTATTGTTCTTGGAAACTGTCACAGATCCCCCACTATCAACATTCTTGGGGTTACCATTGACCAGAAACTCAACGGGACCTGCCACATAAACACATTGGTTACAAGAGCAGGTCAGAGGCTTGGAATACTGCAGCAAGGAACTCACCTCTGAGCTCCCTAAAGCCTGTCCATCATCTACAAGGCATAAGGCAGGAGTGTGAAGGAATACTCCTCACTTGCCTGGATGAGTGCAGCCCCAACAACACCCAAGAAGCTTGACACCATCCAGGTAAAAGATTGGCACCACATTAACAAGCATCCACTCCCTCCACCACCAACGCTCAGTAGCAGCAGTGTGTACTATCTACAAGATGCACTGCAGAAATTCACCCAAGATTCTTAGACAGCACCTTCCAAACCCACGGCCAGTTCGAAGGACAAGGGCTGCAGACATATGGGAACACCATTACCTTCAAGTTCCCCTCCAAACCACTCACCATCCTGACTTGGAAATATATCACCGTTCCCTCACTGTCACTGCGTCAAAATCCTAGAATTCCCTCCCTCATGGCATTGGAAGTCAATCCACAGCAGGTGGATTGCAGCAGTTCAAGAAGGTAGCTCACCAGTACCTTCTCAACAGCAGCTAAGTACGGGCAATAAATGCCAACAGTGCCCACATCCCATGAATAAATAAAAAAAAACTCTTATGAATCCTTCGAAATGGCTACATCTGCCAATCTGATTTTCCTAACTACAAGGTTAAAGTCACCCATGATTAACAAACTGTTTTATTTTACATGCACTACCTTATCGATCAGTTATTGCGTGTGAAGATATGAAGCTGTGTATGGGGTGATTAGATGTTGAGACTTCAATCAGAGTAGTCAGCTGGTTGCTGGAGCACTTTTAGTTACAGAAGAATATCAAGGATAGACTGATGCTCACGATCATTATTCTCTTAAGAAGAGAAAATCAAGGGGACAACAAAGGGTCTGCGAGGGAACATGTGCTAGCCGCGATCTGGGCAGCTTGCAATAATGACATCTGCCCCTCAAAGTGCCATTTTAGGAGCTTTAGCTGAAAGTTTATGCTGCAAGCAATGTGCAATTGACAAGGTGACTGCAACACTAAATCGTTTTGTGTTGATACTTGTTGGCAAAAAGCCTTGCTGTGGATGGTATGGAGTGGAAAAACTGGGTTACACACAAACAAAGGCTTGATAGAGGGTGGGTGAGACTGGTCCTCAATGATCACCCAAAATGAGCATCAATAAATGGAAGCCAATTTCTGTTCTGAGATAGTAGGAACTGCCAATGCTGGAGAATCTGAGATTACAAGGTGTAGAGCTGGATGAACACAGCAGGCCAATCAGCATCAGAGGAGCAGGAAAGCTGACGTTTCAGGTCTGGACCCTTCTTCAGAAATGGGGCAGGGGAAGGGGATTCTGAAATAAAAGAGAGAGAGAGGGGGAGGCAGATGGAAGATGGATAAAGGAGCAGATAGGTGGAGAGGAGATGGACAGGTCAAGGAGGCGGGGATGGAGCCAGTAAAGGTGAGTGTAGGTAGGGAGTTAGGGTGGGGGTAGGTCAGTCAAGGGAAGACGGACAGGTCAAGAAGGCGGGGATAAGGCTGGTAGGCAGGAGGTGGGGGTGGGGGTTGAGGTGGGAGGAGTGGATAGGTGGGAGAAAGGATGGACAGGTTAGGGAGGCGGGGATGAGCTGGGCTGGTTTTGGGATGCGGTCAGGGGAGGGGAGATTTTGAAGCTTGTGAAGTCCACATTGATACCATTGGGCTGCAGGGTTCCCAAGCAAAATATGAGATGCTGTTCCTACAAACTTTGGGTGGCATCGTTGTGGCACTGGAGGAGGCCCAGGATGGGCATTTCGTCCAAGGAGTGGGAGGGGGAGTTGAAGTGGTTCGCGACTGGGAGGTGCAGTCATTTGTCACAAACTGAGCGTAGGTGTTCCACAGAGCAGTCTCCAAGCCTCCGCTTGGCTTCCCCAATGTAGAGGAGGCCACAACGGGAACAGCGGATACAGTATACCACATTAGCAGATGTGCAGGTGAACATCTGTTTGATGTGGAGAGAGATAGTAGGAACTGCAGATGCTGGAGAATCTGCGATAACAAGGCGTAGAGCTGGATGAACACTGCAGGCCAAGCAGCATCAGGAGCAGCAAGGCTGACATTTCGGCCTAGACCCGTCTTCAGAAAACCATTTTCTGATGACGGGTCTAGGCCCGAAACGTCAGCCTTCCTGCTCCTGTGACGCTGCTTGGCCTGCTGCGTTCATCCAGCTCTACACCTTGTTATCTGTTTGATGTGGAAGGTTTTCTTGGGTCGTGGGATGGGGGTGAGGGGGTAGGTGTAGCACCTCCTGAGGTTGCAGGGAAAAGTGCCGGGTGTGGTGGGGCTGGAGGAGAGTGTGGAGTGGACAAGGGAGTCACGGAGAGAGTGGTCCCTCCGGAAGGCAGATAAGGATGGGGAGGGAAAAATGTCCTTGGTAGTGGGGTCGGATTGCAGGTGGCGCAAGAGGCGGAGTATGATGCGTTGGATCCAGAGGTCGGTGGGGTGGTACGTGAGGATGAGGGGGACTCTGTTTTTGTTGCTATTGTGGGGAGAGGGATGAGTTGCGGGAAACGCGAGAGATGCGGTCGAGGGTATTTTGGACCACTGTGGAGGGAAAGTTGCGGTCCTTGAAAAACGAGGACTGTTCTGTTCTGTTGACTTTCAAGGATAACAGAAGTCTGGATTTTTGACTGGGAGGTGTGCAGTGGAGGTGTTGAAAGGACAGCAGAGACTTTATCCTTGTGTCATTGTCAGAGACAAGATTTCATACTGCATGTGTTCAACTGCATTTCATCTTGCATTCTTACCAATCACTTCAAATAGCCAGTTACAATGTGACACAGTGTCCTCACCCATATAGCGAACACACCACATTCTCCCAGTTGTAACTTCAAAGACCTGTTGCTGGAATAATCGACGATTGTAAGAGGCTGAAATTGTGATTGTGATTACAGGTTATTTCAGCCTCCCAATTGAAATATTATGGGAATTAATTCTAGAAAAACGAGTAACATGAATGACCAGGGTCTGGTTATTACATTTTATTGCACATTTCTCTTCTCAAGACCTTTCCAAACAATAAAAGGAGCACTCTGCCCAGCAACAGCAAGTTTGAAAACTAAATAATCCATCTTGACTGGATGCACACATGGTCCGAAAATTAAAACATAAATCTGATCATTAGACGTTTGCATCTTCTGTCCCTGAAGCGGACTTCTTGGCTACATGGTTATGAGGTTACTGGGTATGGGCCACATCTCTCTACTGGAGGTATATAAACTTTAAGTGAAATATCAACAAGTTAAATAAATAATTGGTTAAATGCAAATACAGGTAGTGGAAGAGTTCAGAGGAGATTTATGGTATGGACCACTAGACTACAAACGATGCTTAGCTTTACAAGGGGAGACAGGAAGTTGATGGATGGAGAGTAATTAGAATATAGCATTAATCTTTGCAGCACATTACAGAGCAGAGTGGCATCCTTGCAGCTCCGGTCATATTCATGCAGCAGAGAAGACTACCTTCTGATTTGGGTACGGCATTTATCGCTGGGGTCATTTTTGAAGGGGGGGGCCAGTGGAAAAAGTGGTCGATCAGCCAAAATTTTTAGAAAAGAAACAAAAACAAAAACTTCCTAGTTGAACTGGAAATGCCAAACATCGAGAGATCTGAAGTGTCAATGGGCCAAAGGTCAATAATTCCAGCAAAGTTCACATCTGAAACATAAAGTGCCCAGGCTGGATGGTGCAATGTCATTTGTTAGTGGCAGCAGATACCTGGCACCCAGAAGTACCATGGCAGCAGGCAGTAAAACATCCAACATGCCATCAGTGTGTCCTGCTGTGTTGTTCTGCAGGCATACCGAAACATCCAGAGTGAGGGAGTTTCCAGCGGGGGACTTCATTCTGCCAGTTTAGGCTCAAGGTGCAGTTCTGTTCTCCACCAGAATTGAGGCAGATGCGCAGCAAGTAGTTTCACAGCCTGAACTGGAATCAAAGCTTGATAAAACCATGCCGTTCTGGACTCCTGGGACTGCATCATGTTCCTCAGCAACTCCCCTGGATCAGGTGACGAAATTCTTCCTGCTGCATTCCTGGAGATGGGGGAGGAAAAATGAAGCAATGCCCTCATCTGGTAAGATACTCAGAAAGTCCAGAGGCTGGAGGATAGTGGCCACCACTGCCAAGGTTTCTGGGGGCAAAAAAATACAAATGTTTTGGAATCAGAACCTACAAACCAGGCATTTGGGTTGCACAAGACAAAATTTAAAAATTATGGAACAAGATACTAATTACAGCACAGCAAAGTCACAACCCAATGACCATTAGCGATAAGATTGAGCATGTTTCTGCTAGAGCTTTCCTGCATGGAGCAACAGGCCATCCTTCCCCTCTCCAAGTGACTATACACTCAGTCAAATGGAACCATACAGAACAGGAAGGGTGATGTTTCTGATCCCTGGTCAACTGATGGTTACTGCTGATCTTCCATCTGGTGATTAGCAAGGAAATTATATTTTTCTGTATCTTTCCCAGAACCAGAACCACAGAGAAAAAAAAACAAAATTTCCCCCTTTTGCCCAAGTTATTAAATTAAAGAAGGCACAAGAACGATTTACAAAGATGGTGCTGGGTCTAGAGGGTTCAAGTTATAATGAGAGGCTGGATAGACTGGGACCATTTTCCCTTGGAATCAGAGGCTGAGGGGTGACTTTGTGGAGGGGCACAGATAAGGTGGATAGCAACGGTCTTCTCCCCAGAGAAGGGGAGTCCAAAACTAGAGGGCACAGGTTTAAGGTGAGGGGAATAAGTTTTAAAAGAGACCTGAGGGGCAATTTTTTCCACACAGAGGGTGGTTTGTATGTGGAATGAACTGCCAGAGGAAGTGGTAGATGCAGGTATAATTACATAATATTAAAAGACATTTGGACAGGTACATGAATAGGAAAGGTTCAGAGGGATACAGGCCAAATGCAGGCAGGTGGGACTAGTTTCGTTTGGGAAACTTGGTCAACATGGACTGTTTGGACCGAAGGCTCTGTTTCTGTGTGTATGACTCTGTAACTCTACCATTTACATTGTATCTTTCACAGAATGACCCCAAGCATTTTACAGTCAAGATGCAATTCTGAAGTCTGATTGTGGCTGCAGTGTGGCAGGTACTAAAGCAGTTGCAAAAGGATGAACACACATGAAATACCTTTCAGTGAAGAAACCAATATTCTGTTTTCTCCTCCAGCTCCTTTTGTCCGCCTACAAAGTTCAGGCAAAAGTTTTTTCCACCACAGAGGCTGGAAAGAGCAAGATGTCAGTGTTAAATCAGTGAAATGATAACACACTCACAATGGCAGAAACCCCACTCAAACCAAACTCAAAACCAAGACATGGGATGGAGATCAACACCTTGGACCTGGATTAAACCAACTGGAGGCCTGTGACCAGCAGTGTGCCACAAGGATCTTGGTGGGTCCGCTGCTTTTCGTCATTTATATAAATGATTTGGATGTGAACATAGGAGGTATGGTTAGTAAGTTTGCAGATAACACCAAAATTGGAGGTTGTAGTGGACAGCAAAGAAGGTTACCTCAGAGTACAGCGGGACCTGGATCAGATGGGCCAATGGGCTGAGGAGTGGTAGATGGAGTTTAATTTAGATCAAAGGGAGGTGCTGCATTTTGGAAAGGCAAATCAGGGCAGGACTTATACACTTAATGGTAAGATCCTGAGGAATGTTGCTGAACAGCGACCTTGGAGTGCAAGTTCATAGTTCCTTGAAAGTGGCGTCATAGGTCGATAGGGTAGTGAAGATGATGTTTGGTATGCTCACATTTATTGGTCAGTGGGTTAAGTATGAGTTGCGTACAGTTCTGGTCACCGCATTATAGGAAGGATGTGGAAGCATTGGAAAGGGTGCAGAGGAGATTTACCAGGATGTTGCCTGGTATGGAGGGAAGATCTTATGAGGAAAGGCTGAGGGTTTTGAGGCTCTTTTCGTTAGAGAGAAGAAGGTTAAGAGGTGACTTGATAGAGACATACAAGATGATCAGAGGATTAGATAGGGTGGACAGTGGGAGCCTTTTTCCTCGGATGGTGATGGCTAGCACGAGGGGACATAGCTTTAAATTGAGGGGTGATAGATATAAGACAGATGTCAGAGGTAGGTTCTTTACTCAGACAGTAGTAAGGGCGTGGAATGCCCTGCCTGCAAAAATAGTAGACTCGCCCACTTTAAGGGCATTTAAATGGTCATTGGATAAACATATGGATGATAATGGAATAGTTTAGGTTAGATGGGCTTCAGATTGGTTTCACAGGTCGGCGCAACATCAAGGGCCGAAGGGCCTGTACTGCGCTGTAATGTTCTATGAGAGTTGGGAGGTCATGTTGTGGCTGTACAGGACATTGGTTAGGCCACCTTTGGAATACTGCGTGCCATTCTGGTCTCCCTGCTATAGGAAAGATGTTATGAAACTAGAAAGGGTTCAGAAAAGATTGTTGCCACGGTTGGAGGGTTTGAGCTATAGGGAGAGGCTGAATAGGCTGAGGCTATTTTCCCTGGAATTTTGGAGGCTGAGGGGTGACCTTATAAAGGTTTATAAAATCACGAGGGGCATGAATAGAGTGAATAGCAAAGATCTTTTCCCTGGGGTGGGGGAGTTTAACACTAGAGGGCATAGATTTAAGGGAAGAAGGGAAAGATTTAAAAGGGATCAAAGGGGCAACTTTTTCACGCAGAGACTAGTGACTGTATGGAATGAGCTGCCAGAGGAAGTGGTGGAGGCTGGTACAATGACAACATTTAAAAGGCATCTGGATGGGTACGTGAATAGGAAGGGTTTAGAGGGATACGGGCGAACTGCTAGAAAATAGGACAGGATTTATTTAGAATATCTGGCCAGTACGGATGGGTTGGAGCGAAGGGTCTGTCTCTGTGTTGTATATCTCTGTGACTCAATTCATTCAAAAGAAGGGGGAGCATTGTCGCTTTGGACTGGGACTCAGTGCAGTTCCATAGATGATGCCCCTCAGAATGGAACTTAAGTCAGAACCTGGTAAGTTCCCTACCTAAGTTCCCTGGGTAATTCCCCAGAATTGTATCTGGTATATCTGCATTTATAAAACAAAAAAGTGTTCAGAAGGAACTCCCCAGCACAGTTTCCTGGAATGGGAAGAGAAATGATTGTATTACAATCGACATTCTATTTACAAAGACAATAGAGGTTTATAAAATCATGAGGGGCATAGATAAGGTGAATAGCAAAGGTCTTTTTCCATAGTGTATAGGAGTTCAAAACTAGAGGGAATAGGTCTAAGGTGAGAAGGTTTTAAAAGGGACCTGAGGGGCAATTTTTTCCACACAGAGGGTGGTTTGTATGTGGAATGAACTGTCAGAGGAAGTGATAGATGCAGATACAGTTACATAATATTAAAAGACATTTGGACAGCTACATGAATGGGAAACGGTTAGAGGGATATGAGCCAAATGCAGGCAGGTGGGACTAGTTTAGTTTGAGAAACCTGGTTGATATGGAGGAGTTGGACCAAAGGGTCTGTTTCCTTGCTGTATGATTCTATGACAAAGTGACCATTGCTTTAAGTCCAGTTATTGCAGCATTGTTATAATAAAAACCTTTCCTCCAAGAAAGCAGTAGGGCGTGAATGATGCTCTGTTGACAGTGCGTGTTGTAACAGAGATTTTTATGTATGTATTTTAATAACATTCAATGCAGATTTGGGTTCTAATTTAAGCTTAAGGATTTGTCTGTGCGTTTGGAGTTAATGATTAGCTTTGGGGAAAAAAAAATACCCATAATTTTAGGGAATTACCCTGAGGGCTTAGGTGGAGAACTTACCAGACTCCGCCTTTGTACTTTGACTCTGTGCTGGGAAGGTGTTTGAGAGACAAGCATGTGTCAAACTCTTAAGTGCTGAGAAGTCTTTCAATGGAGTAATGTGCTAAGAAGTGCTCCTAAGAAAAGGAGTTCAAAGTAATGAAGTTATCTTAGAATAAGTGGTTATTATTCCCAGACTGGGGTGTTAGGATACAGTCAGTGGAAATGAAGTTTTTGAAGTTTTATTTTAAAAAGATAAAGGAATCAAAGTTGTATCAGGGACTGCATAGCACTGGAAGGAAGCAAAATCAGAAGCATAATAATAATAATAATAATAATAATAATAATAATAATAACCTACAGTTCCCGTGGGTAAGTTGAACTTTTAATTATATCAAGCTTAAAGGAATTTAAAAAATGAAGAGTCTCTCTCTTCCTTGGAAATGAGCTGGACTGGGTCTTCCTAAAGGTACAGCACTAGATGTTCCTGGATTGTACAGATGGACCGATTCCCACACAAAACTGTTGTTTCTCTTCAAGTTATAAAGAGCGTTTGGTTATTTCTACTGCGGTTTAAGGATACGGGTGGCACGGTGGCTCAGTGGTTAGCGCTGCTGCCTCACAGGGCCAGGGACCCAGGTTTGATTCTACCCTCGGGCAACTGTCTGTGTGGAGTTTGCACGTTCTCCCTGTGTCTGTGTGGGTTTCCTCCGGGTGCTCCGGTTTCCTCTCAAAGTCCAAAGATGTGCAGGTTAGGTGGATTGGCCATGCTAAATTGCCCGTAGTGTTCAGGGATGTGCAGGTTAGGTAGATTAACCAGGCAAATGCAGGCCTACAGGGATAGGGTCTGGGTGGGATGCTCTTCAGAGGGGTAGTGTGGACTCGATGGGTTGAATGGCCTGTTCCCACACTGTAGGGAGTCTTTGATTCTACGATGTTCGAATCTCATGGGGATCTGCTTTGTCTGGTATTAACATTAACTGCGTGTTATCCCATAACAACTGGGGCCATTACATTGTTATAATAACAAAATGGTGCAGCCAGAGTTCCCTTGAATTTTATTTCCGAGGCTCCGAAAAACGAGTGCTAGAGACATCTGGAACTAGAGGTCAAATGTTGGAATCGGTGTGTCCGCACTGATCTCTGTGCATGGACCCATCGAGTGGTTGTGTACACACACAGCCCGGAGGGAAAATTGGGAACAGCCATTGGTGGTACATACGCACAGTCTACAACACTTCTTGGCATAGCCATAACATACAGGTTATGGGCCTAGTGCTGGGAAGTGGAATTTGTGTGGATTTTGTACAGCTTTGGCAGAACTTGACAGACCGATAGGCCTCTTCTGTATGGTATAATTCCATGAGCTGAATAACCAGTTAATCCAGTTCTGGAGGATCCCATTGGAGGGATGAATGCTAGCCAAACATTCTGGAGAACACTTTCTCTTCGCATCATGGAATTGTTAATGGTCACCTCAACAGGAAGGTGGGATTGCAGTCCATCTGTAGGACAGTACAGAAGAGACCAAGTACGAAATATTAGATAACACAGTGTGGAGCTGGAGGAACACAGCAGGCCAGGCAGCGTCAGAGAAGCAGGAAAGTTGATGTTTCGGGTCGGGACCCTTTTTTCAGAAATTAGAAACGTCAACTATCTCAGGCTCCAGCATCGGCAGTTCTTACTATCTCTAAGTACCAAATATTCATGGTAACATGGTCAAATAACCCTGATGGACATGGTCCGATAATTAACCAACTTAGAGAGCAATTTCCACCATCCAAACCCCAATTGGCACTTTGCAATTTAACTTCTATTTCCAATCCAACATTCACTCCCCCTCTCCGCCCCACACCCTCCCGAGATATGATAAAATAAAACTCATTCAAGAGGGAGGTTCTCCTGGAAGAACCTGTTTCTCCTGCCGCATCTCACAGCTGGCAAATGGTAGAAGAGCCTCAGGGCATCGGTCCAGGAGTTGGTCAGTCACGTGCTCACATTCTCCCAGCCTTGTGGCACAAAGCACGTGGACACTCAGACCAGGGCCGTCATCCTCGGGGAGCTGATGCAACAGCGGAAGGACAGATTTCACATCGATGAAGGAACCACACAGGATGGACTAAGGAAGAATCAAACAAAGAAATGCTAGCAAGATCCCATGAAGGGTTATAGACATCTCCGTACCCTCAAGTGGTCTTAGTGCTGAAGGGAGACAGGACGGGGCACTTGGGGAAAAGCTTTAAGCCATACAAGGGACCTTGGACTGGTGAACAGTAGAGAGCATGGCTCAATACCACTCACCGTGATCCAGCTAGATCTGCTGGTGACAGCTGAACCAGTTGTACAATCAGGTCTGGTCAAGATAGTTTATAAAATGCATTAAAGGGAAGAGTTTAACAGGGAAAGAGTAAGGATTAAGGGGGCAATTGGAATGGTGTTAAATAAATATTTCTCTTTGGTCTTCATTCTGGAAAAGGAGAAAGTAGGGACGGAATTCAGGAAAAAGGACTGTGAGAACTTGCACACTTTGACATAGGAAATGGGTTGGTATTGGAAGCCATGTCAGATTTAAAAATGGACAAATCCCATGGCCTGGATGAATTGCACCTAATGCTGCTGTGGGAGGAGAGGCATAAGAGTGCAGGGGCTCTGACACATATTCTTAACTCATTCTGTGGCCAGAGAGAAGTGCCAGACCGCTAGAAGATGGCTGATGTGGTTCCACTTTTCAAGAAGGGTGGTAAATATGAACCAGGAAATTACTGACCAGTGAGTCTCATGTCAGTGGCAGGGAAACTATTGGAGAAAATTCTGAAGGAGAGAATTAAGATCCACTTGGAAAAATGGGGGCTAATTAGAGACAGTCAGCATGGATTTGTCAGAGAGATGTCACACCTAACATTTCCATAACAAAATATGTCTATAACAAAATATGACCAAGTGTGTGAATGAGGGAAGTTCAGTTAATGCAGGTTATCTGGATTTTAGCAAAGCTTTTGACACAGTCCCACATGGGATACGGATTGAGAAGGTTAAAGCACATGGAACTGGGGAAACTGTGGCGAGATGGATCGGAAATTGGCTTAATAATAGGACAAAAAAGGGCAGTGGCAGAAGACTATTTGAGTATCTGGTGGGCAGTGTCCAGCATTGTACCACAAAGATCACTACTGGGACCTTATTGTTTGTTATATACATAAATGATATTGATGAAGATGTGGGGGAATATTAAGCAAATTTGCAGATGACACCAAGATTGGTAGGGCAGTTAATAGCAAAGAAGATTGTTGTAGGTTACAGGAAGATATAGATTTGTTTAGTCAGATGAGCAGACCAATGGTAGATGGCATTTAACCCTGATAAGTATGAGCTGATGCACTTTGGAGGAGGAACAGGATGAGGGAGTGTTTAATGAATGGCAGGACACCTTAGAGGAACAGAGGGATCTGGGGGTAATTATTCACGGATCCCTGAAGTCAGCAGAGGAAGTGAAGTGAAATGAAGTGAATAGGATAGTGAAGAAGGCATATGGGACACTTGCTTTCATCAGTCATGGCGTGGAGTATAAGTGCAAGGAGATACTGTTGGAGTTGTACAGAGCATTGGTCAGGCCACAGCTGGAGTACTGTGTGCCGTTCTGGTCACCTCACTACAGGAAGGATGTGATAGCACTAGAGGGTGTACAGAGGAGAGAGTCTTTGCCTGGGATGGAGAAGTTGAGCTACAAGGAGAGACTAGATAGGCTTGGATTGTTTTCTTTAGTAGCCATGATGTAGAGGTGCCAGTGTTGGATAAATAAACCTGTTGGACTATGACCTGGTGTCATGTAATTTCTGACCTTGTTGTCTTAAGGGCAGAAAAGACTGAGAAGGGACATGTTTGAGGTGTATAAGATTATGAGGGATGTGGACAGGGTGAATAGAGAGCAGCTGTTCCCCTTAGTTGAGGGGTCAGTCACGGGGTGGGGGGCATAGTTTTAGGAGAAGGGGCAGGAGATTCAGAGGAGATTTGAGAAAAATCTTTTTCCACTCAGCAGGTGGCGGGAATCTGAAATGCACTTCTGGAGCAGGTAGTGGAGGCCAGAAACCTTACAACATTTAAAAAAAAAAAATTTGGATGAACATTTGAAATATCATAACATTCAAGGGTATGGGACAAGTGCAGGAAATTGGGATTAACGCCCCTTTAGTGGTAGTTATGTTGGTGCAGACTCGATGGGTCAAAGGTCCCTTTTTTGCACAGTATGACTATTGATCGAAGTCTGGTAACACAGAAAATGAAATCATCATAAAAATCATCACAGAATCCCTACAGTGTGGAAACAGGCCCTTCAGCCCAACAAATCCACACCGACCCTTGGAGCATCTCACCCAGACCCATCCCCTCATAAGCCACCTAAAACACTACAGGCAATTTCCCATGGCCAATCCACCTAGCCTGCACATCTTTGGACTGTGGGAGGAAACCCACACAGACACGGGGAGAATGTGCAAACTCCACACAGAGAGTCATCCAAGGGTGGAATTGAACCTGGGTCCCTGGCGCTGTGAGGCAGCAGTGCTAACCACTGAACCAAAAGAAAATGCTGGAGAAATTCAGCAGGTCTGGCATAATGTGCGGAGAGAGAGCAAGAGTTAATGTTTCAATTCAGTATGACTTCTTCAGAACGGAAGGCTCCTATTGGATTCAAAACCTTAACTCTGCTTTCTCTCCATGGATGCTGTCGGACCTGCTGAGTTTCTCCAGCAATTTTTTTTTTGTTTCCAGCATCGACAGTATTTGGCTTTTACTATGGTCAGGGCTGTCAGTCTTTAATGAAAGGGAAGGAGACGATGGACCTGGTGGTATTATTGCTGGACTGTTATTCCAGAGACCCAGGTAATGTTCTGGGGACCTGGGTTCGAATCCCACCATGGCAGATGGTGGAATTTGAATTTAATTAAAATATCTGGAATTAAGAATCTAACGATGACCACAAATCCATTGTCAATTGTCAGAAAAAAACCATCTGGTTCACTAATGTCCTTTAGGGAAGGAAACTGCCATCCTTACCTGGTCTGGCCTACATGTGACTCCAAACCCACAGCAATGTGGTTGACTCTGACCTATCCTCTGAGCAATTAGGGATGGGCAATAAATGCTGCCTAGCCTCATCCCGTGAATGAATAAAGAATGAAGGGAGCATGTTTGTTCTGTGAAAGTGGCTGTGATCGTTAAGGGGGTGCACCAGGGACTAAAGTGGGGATGAGTAATCTGGGACAGAGGTAGGAGGCAAATGGAGGATTAAAGGCTCAATAGTTGGCAGCTTTACAGTAATGCCCTCCTTATTTAAAAGGAGGGTGGTAACGCATTGCAAACAGCTCAGAGAAGGGTTACTAGACTAACACCGGGAATGAGCAGATTGCCTCATGAGGAAAGACTAGACAGGTTAAGTCTGTATCCCCTGGAGCTTAGAAGAATCCAAGGTGACTTTATTGAAATTAAGATCCTGAGGGGATTTAACTGAGTGGATGTGGAAAGGATACACCCTGTTGTGGGACAATCTAGAACCAGGGATCATAGCTTAAAAATAAAAGATCCCCCATTTAAAACCGAGGTGAGGAAACATTGTTTTCTCTCAGAGGGTTGAGCGTCTTTGCGAATTCTCTTCCTCAAAAGGCAATGGGGACAGAATTTTTAAACATTTTTATGGCACAGGTAGACGGATTCTTGATGACCAAACATAATTGGGGATGTGCAGGAATGTAGATTGAAGTTAAAATCAGATCAGATGCAATTTCGTTGAACGGTGAAGCAGATTTGAAGGGCCGAATGGCCTACTCTTGTTCATGTGAAGTTAGAAGTGAAGACAAATGACTTGATTCAAACATAAGAGATCCTGGGGGAGGAGGGGGTTCTTGATAAGCTGGAGGTGGTGAAGACATTTTGGTCCCTTGTTGCAAAAATCAGAGGCACCCACTTAAGACGGGGACCAGATAAAATTCTCCCCTCAGACTATCTTTGGAACTCTCTTCCTGAAAGTGGCAGCAAAGCCTTTGAATATTTTGAAGGCACCAGTGGAAAGGTTAACAGGGCTGGACAGGAATGTGAAGTCAGCCATGAAGTTACTGAATGGGAGGAGGAGGCTTGAGGGGCCGAGTGGCCACCTGCAACTTGAAGTTCAGATGTTTGTATGGATGTTTAAGGTGCAGTTAGAAACGGCTGAGGAGAAGATTGCTTCCCAGGTTTGTACACACAACAAAATGATCAGCAATGGCTTCCTTTCTGACTGTGATCACAAGATTGCCTCATCATTGGGAGGAGTGTGACAAAGTGAATATTTTACATTCTCTGTTCATTTCATATTCACGTAAGGTGGTAAAGAAAGTTGAACAGGGTGGAATAAAGTGGGATATGGAAGGAAAAATGTACCAGGGACATAGGGGGCCAGAATGTAACTTGACGATGAATCGTAATGCCAGCGTGGGGTGATCAGGGAGAGTGGGCTTGTTGGGGAAAGAGACCACATCATCAGCAGCGATGGAGTGAGGGGAAGAAAACAAGAAAGATGTTCGTCATGACTACACACTGTCCTGGAGCCGCAGAGAGCAGGGAAGGTTACAGGCTCGGTGGCCAAAGGACCTCTTCTGCCCTATACAATTCTACAGGCAGATGGGAGTGGGGAAAAGGAATTTAATCACAAAACACAGAATAGGCCATTTGGCCCATCGTTTCTGGGCTGGCTGTCCAAGGGAAACTGTTTACCCAGGTGCCAATCCCCAGCCTGACCTCCCACTGTAACCCTGGACATTTCTTTCCGGATGACAATCCCTCTTGGATATCTCCAACGAGCTGCTGCCACCACTCTCTGGCAGTGCTCCGGATCTCACTGCACGACAAAGTTTTCCCTCATGTCCCCATTGTTTCCTTTGCCAATTGCGTCAAATCTGTCTCCTCACGTTCTGAATGTTTCCACCTACCAAGACCGTCTCTCTCCCCCTCTCTGTGGCCCAAAAACCCAAGTATTTCCAGATTCCCATTATACTGTAGCATGTGACAACACAAGGCTTTGTGTATGGTTTTCATGAGACCGTAAGAAAGAGGGACAAGATTAGGCTGTTCAGCCCCTCAAACTTGCTCCACCATTTAATAGGATCATGGCTGATCTGACGTTCCTCATGCCCAATTTCCTGCCCTTTCCCTGTAACCCTTAATTCCCGACTGATCAAGAACCTATCTATGTCAACATTAAATGTACACAAGGACAGTGGCCCCACAGCTCTCTGTGTCAAGGAGTTCCAAAGACTCTCAAACCCTCAGAGAAGAAATTCCTCCTTATCTCAGTCTTAAATTGGTGCCCCTTTATTCTGAGACTGTGCCCTCTGGTCCTAGGCTCTCCCATGAGGGCAAATACCTCTCAGCATTTACCTTTTCAAGCCCGTTAAGAATCCTACGTATTTCAATGAGATCACCTCTTATTCTAATAAACTGCAGTGAGTGGAGTCTCAACCTGTTTAGCCTTTGTTCATAAGACCATCCCTCCATACCAGGGATCATTCTAGTGAACCTACTCTGAACTACCTCCAATGAAATGATATTCTTCCTTAAATAAGGGGACCAAAACTGCTCTCAGTGCTCCAGATGTGGTCTCACCAGGACATTGTACAGTTGTAATAAAACATCCCTACTCATATACTCCAACATGCTTGAAATGACACCAACATAGATCTCATTCCTTGGAGATCCAAGCTTCACCTCCCTCAGGTGAATCCGAACTTCTGCAACTTTCCAGCTACAAAACAGACGATCATGATCACAACCGGTTTAGCTGTGGTTTAGCCCATCTTCTCTCTCGGGCATTTTACTCTCGGTTGTGAACTTCACCACAATATCCAAACCCCGCTCCCCCTGCCCCCCCTCAGAAAACACCAACACAAACCTGTAACTTCAGAAGATCATCCGATGGGCCATGTGGATGGGAGTGCGATGCATTGATGGTGTGGATCCAAGAGTAGATGGCGCCGAATTGATTGCAACAATTCATCTGTTTAAAAGGGAAAAAAAATGAAGTGAACACAATAGGAGCCTTTCCTGTCCAATTCCTAACAGCACAGCTGCTTGCATCTCCTGCATCGACACACTTGCTGGAAGGTAGCAGACTGTTTTGATGTGGGCCCCAGAGGTAATGTTTGCTGTTGGTGGATTTTCACCTGACTGGCATTGAGTGGATTAGAACCTCTGCGAAGGTGGTATTCAGAGAAGTACCACTGTGACAGGGCCAGACAGACAGACAGAGA